CCCATGGAAAGATAAACAGAACCTTCATTTTAAGTGATTACCTATGAGGGGCTGGAGGGTAGGGGAGCAGGGAAGTGACAAGGACAGAAGCTGGTTTTTCTGAATATGTCTTTTTGTGTATTTGATTTTGGAACTGTCTTAAGTATTTTATAGCATTATAAGGCCAAATCTTTGAAAATTTTTATCCTCAAATCATTTTAAACTTATAAAACATTGCAAAATAGTGCAGAGTTCTAGGATCCTTTGTCCAGCTTCCTTTAATCTTAACGTTTTATATGACCATAGTGTAATTATTTAAACCAGGAAATAACTGGTAGAGTACTCTGATCTACAGACCCTTCAGTTTTCTACAAAGGTTCTTTTTCTGGTCTGGGATTCAATGGAGGATCACACATTTCCTTTAGAAGTTACAACTCTTTAGCCTCCTCCAGTCTGTGACAGCTCCCAACTTTCCTTATCTTTCGTGACCTTGACACTTTTGAAGGGTACTCACCAGCATTTTGTAGAATGTTTCTCACTTTGTGGTTGCCTGATGTTTTTCTTGTAATCAGATTTGAGGTTATGCATTTTTGGCAAGAATGTCACAGGAGTGATGTTAACGTCCTTCTCATGGTACATCACGTCAATATGTCTTATTACTTGTGATGTTAACCTTGATTACTTGGTTGAGGTGGTGTCTGCCAGGTTTCTCCACAGTAAAATAACTATTTTTACTGTTAAATATAATCAATATCTTGGGAGGAGGTATTTTGAGATGCTATAAATACTCTGTTTCTTATCGTACTTTTGCCTATGAATTTTAGCATCATCCTTCAATAGTTCTTGCCTTCAATTATTATTATTGTGGTGTTTGGCTAATGGAGATTTTCTATTTCAGTCATTTTTACATCTGTTAGTTGGAATCCTACTATAAGGAACAGCTGTCCTTTGTCTTCCATTTGTCTGTTTATTTTTATCAGTATGAATGTTTATTTTATGTTATGGGTTATAATCAGTTACTCTCATTATTTATTTTGATGTTCAGCGTTGGTCATCGGGAGGCCCTTCAGGTTGGCTCCTGTTTCCTCCTGACACGCTTCCGTCAGTTTGTGAGCGTTTCCTCACTCTCTGACACCAGAAGACATTCAGGTTCATGTTACATTTTTCTTGCCATAGCCATGGAATTGACTTAGTTCTCCCAGGATCCCTGGGTCTTTTATTTGAGAATAAATAGCATTCAGAAACCAAGACATGGTTACTAGATGTCCCCATTGCTACTGGAGTGTTACTGCTTCTAGACTCTCTGAGCAGATGAAGCTAGGAAATAATGCATGTGTACTGACAGAAGCCCTCGTACCACACGTCTGTATTCGTTTCTTATCTGTCCATCCCTAGTGAGATTTCTGATTCCAGTCTAACACTACAGGATTCATTCTAGTCTTCTCCACCCTTCCTTTTTGTAACTCCTTTCTCTGGCTGTGAGAAGCCTGCATCTCATTATCATGGTACAGTATATTTACTCATTTGTTCAATCTTAGTATATGCATAGTTTCAGAATTGCTAACCCATAGTCTATGAAAAATAAATTCTACCAGTGTTTATTATTGACTAACGCACTTTTTAGGCAGTCAGTCTTATCAAAATGCCATTTTCCAAAGTTACTTGGTTTAGTTTTTTCTTTCCCACCCCCTTCATTGTGCTTAAGTTAATTTGGGGGAGGGGGTGTCAATCCCTTGATTGATTCCAAAGCAAAATGAAACAGTTAACTCTAGCTACATGTGAAGCAGACGGCGTAACCTGAAGAGAGAATTATTTCAAATGTCTGTATTTAATTTTTAAATATTTTCATTGTGGTAAAATTTCATTTTGCAACTCCAGTATATCCTTCATCCAGATTCACCAACTGTTTACATTTTGCCTCACTTTATCATTTCTGCCCTCTTTAACTTCTCCTGTCTCCCTGAGTACACACACACACACACACACACACACACACTACTTCTTGTCTGAAGCATTTGAAAGTAAGTTGTCCCCTGAGTGCTTTAGTGTGTGTTTCCTAAGTGCAAGGATAATCTCTTCTATAACCACGGTTCAGTTCTCAGAATCAAGAGATAAGAATAGTGTCTCCAATCCACAGTCCATATTCAAATTTTATCATTTCTTTTAACATCCTTTATAGTTGTTCTTACCTCAGTGTAAGATTTAGACCAGGATCATCCATCACATTTAGTTCTCATAACTCTAATCTCCTGTAATGGATCAGTTCTTGATCTTTTTTTTCCCACAACCTTGATGTCTTTCAAGAGTGCAGGCTGGTTGTTTGATAGACTGTCCCTTATTTTGAGTTTGTATTTCCTCGGAATTGGATTCAGGTTCAGTTATGCCACAGACTGATGTGTCCTCAGTATGCCACATCAAGACATACAAGACGTCCATTTGTTGATAATGTGGACTTTGAAGTTCCTAGTTAGTGTGTCTGCCAGATTTCTCCACTGTGAAGTTGCTAGTTTCCTCTTTGAAATTAATAAGTAACTTTGGAGAGACACTTTGAGACTGTGTAAATACCCTTTTCCTCATCAAAGATTCACCTGCTGGTTTTAGTTTCCATTGATTATTTTTACCTGGATCAGTCATCACTGTGATGGTTCTAAAGTGTTCATTTTCTGTCATTCTACATTTGTCTGTTACATTCTACTATAAGGAAAAGTTTCCCCTTTTCTCCCATTAGTTTATTTATGTCAGTAGACACTGACACAAATATGAGTATACACCATGAATATACATATGGTGTGTACTTATGGGTTCTTTTTTTATTCCATGGGTTATATTCCATTACTGTCTTTATTTATTTATTTTGACATTTTTTTATTGAGTAATAGTCATTTTGCAATATTGTGTCAATGTGAGCACAATTTTTCAGTTATACATGAACATACATATATTCATTGTCGCATTTTTTTCACTGTGAGCTACCACAAGATCTTGTATATATTTCTCTGTGCTATACAGTATAATCCATTACTGTCTTTATTTATTTTGATGTTCAAATAGTCCTGGACTTAGCCAGTGGAAGCCTTTTCAAGTTTCAGGTGTTATTTTGATATGTCTGCATCGTTCTTTGAGTACTTCCTTACATTCTGGCACAGTGGTAGATTTCAGGCTCATCCTACGCTTTCTTGGTCTACCATAGCCCTGAAATTAATTGTTTCTCTAACATGCCTTGGTTCTGTCTTATGGGGAATGGAATTTAGAAACCAAGGCCTGAGAGCTAGTTATGTTCTTTGCTACTGGGATGCCATTGCTTCTAAGCTCTCTCAGTGGACATAGCTAGAATACATACACAGCAGGGAATACAGACACACATACGTACATACCATGCATTCGTATGTGTATGTGTGTATACACATGTGTGAACATAAACACACACTGATGTCTATTTCTATGTCTATGTAAATGTGTGGTTGTATACACTCATGTACACACCTAACCATGATTTAACATTGATATGTCTAAATCCATTCTAATGCCACAGGGTTATTCTAGTTTTTCTTCTTTCCATATTTGTAACTTCCTTCTTCAACGGTGAAAACCCTGATTCCTATTACCCTCCGTATATTTACTTATTTGCTCAATCCTAGATTACACAGAAAGTAGTTTTGGAATTGCTTATCCTGCCACCGTGAAAAAGAAACCTATCTGCAAGTGTGTACTTCAAACACTGTAATTTGGCCGTACATACTTAGTGGGATATAACCCTGGGGAGGGGTTCAAAAATGTCACATTGTTTTCAGTAATTATGTTTTGGGGAGATCACAGAGGTACTGTTTTTCTGAGACTATTATATATACTGTGAAATAAATCAAATGAGTAATGATATTGGCATGGTTGAGAGTTGAGCTTTTCAACATGGTTAAAAAGAGATACAGATGTGTGGTTGGTGAAGTTAAAATCCTGTAGCCCCAAATTTGACTTAAAAATATCAGTATGATCTCATGGTGTATTTTGTCTTAGACGTGCACATGGTCGCACACACCACACACGCGCGCGCGCCCACACACACACACACACACACACACTTCTACTTTTGCCACTGAAAAGGCCTAGGAACACTGACCAACCTCGTGACAGTGAGCATCCCTGCAGCATCCAGACTGTTGTCTCTAAGTGCCGTTTTCCACTTTAGAAGAGGCTCTAGGACTCCTTGAAAAAATGGCTGAATGTAGGCTGTGAGAAGCTATAGGACAGATACCTACTCTTCAACAAATAAAATGCATTTGAGAAAAGGAGAGATCAAAGGCAGAGGGTATCTTTGGTTAAAAGAGACTTGAGACTTACCAACCAATTATAATGCGTGGGCTTTATTTGGATCCTGATCCAAACAAGCAAGCTTAAAAATGTTGATATGAGATAAGCAGGGAAATGGGAACATTGACTAGATAGGTAGTACTTAGTGTTAACTTTTTGAAGTGCAGCTATGGTAATGTGTTTTACAAGAGTCCTTGTATTAGAAGTATATATTAGAATATGTGAGGATGAAACAGTGTGATGCCTAGGGTTTGCTTCATAATAATCTTGGCGGGTAGGGGCAGAGTAGGGATGAAACAAGAGTGACCATAAGAGGTCACTTTTCTCTCTTTGTCAATGTGTGAAAATTTCTATAGTAAAATGAAAAAACTTAAAAGTAGTGCTGCTTGCTCTGAGTGAGACATTTCCCGAGAGAGCAGGACGGCACCCTGGGAATGGGTGCCCGCACTCAGACCACAAGTGGGGAGGGTAGGAAGCCAGGTCCTTCTCATCACTTTATCCCAGTACACAGCAGTCACTCGATATATAATGGGCAGTGAAATGAGTGCCCTTGAATGAGCAGCTGGCATTTGAGTGAACTCAGTTCCAAAATCATCCATGACTCATAACTGACAGCCAGCCACTCACACCATGTGGAATATAGGCATTTCCTTGTTGCTTGGGCTGCTGCCATTCTATCCAGTGACATGATGCACTTGACCCTCCTTCCTTTGCAGGCTCAGGCCCGATGTCACCGGATAGGCCAGAGTAAAGCCGTGAAGGTGTATCGCCTCATCACTCGGAACTCCTACGAGCGGGAAATGTTTGACAAGGCCAGCCTAAAGCTGGGTCTGGACAAGGCTGTTCTTCAGGACATCAACCGCAAGGGCAGCACCAACGGAGTGAGTGTGCTGGAACCTGCTCTAGGGCCTTAGGAAGGGTTCACCACACAACCCAGGGCCTGTCTGACCTCTTCACTCCTGCTGCTGTGTTAAGATTCCTTCTCACCAAATTGAGTCGGGCTGCCCATCTTTGCTGGATCATTCCTTGCAGTAGAGCATAATCCAGTGTCAGGTCTCTGCATCTTATAGATGGATAAAGGAAATGTGGAGGAGCAGTTAGGTGGGAGGATTGACCAACATGCCCAGTTTACTGAACAGTAACATTTCAGTAAACAGAGTTTCCAACATTGCCTGCTGGAATTCAGTAGATCTCACACTCTTAAATCTAAGTTATCTATTGTCACCATACTTTATCTCCTACTCCAGACTCTGAGGCCCTTGAAGGTGAGCTGTTTTATCTTGCCCAGTGCTCCTGATAGTACTTGGCATATTAAAGATGTTCAGTGCATGATAGTCAGTGAATGAATGAATGAATGAATGATCAGCTTGAAATATGGCAGTTAATAAAATCTTCTTTCCCCCTCTAGAGGGAATAAAAATTGCTGCTAAGAGTCTTAAATTGTATTAAAGTAGAGGCACACAAAGCAAGCTATCTCTTTAATCTCTGGACCTTCTACGTGAGTTGTCTTTAGTCCAGATGTTCTGTATCCTCTCAGCTATGCGTGTTGCTGAGTATGCTTGAGGTTAGCAGTGCTGGGAGTCATGGAATTCCCTCCTGTGATTGATGTAAAGAGAACCAGATTCTTAATTAAAACCAGGAAAGGGTGTTTTGAACTCCCATTTCCTGTTTTCAGCAAGCAATTGAGAAGATCACACTTGGCACGGGATCCTTTCTTTGGTTAAGAAGTGACATCATTTCCAGTACTAGTGTATTTATTCAATAGTGAGTAAGTCATTATTCTTTATCTCATTTGGTACGTATGGAGGTTTTTAAAGATACAGACTCAACTAAAAACATAAAGTAAACATTGAATATATTCACTTCAGTGATACATAGTTTTAACGGTTTGTGACATTTGATAATAACCAACATCCTGAGGAATGTTAGGGCCACTGGATCGTGGGCTGGGTTTTATTCCAGAGCTCCTGGTAAAGGATTGTCTGCCTGCCCTCCTCATAGTTCTCTTGAGTGTCTTTATCTGGGTTTTCATTTTCTGAAGCTTGTTGTCTATGTCTTTGTTTTTCTGACATATGCTCTTAGTGGAGGAACTGTGTGCTGAATCATGAAGGTCAGATTTGAGGCTGTTTTTCTCCTGTGCATTTCCCACTTTGTGAGTAGCCTTTGGTGACCTGTCCAGGTACAGCAGCTTTCAAAGATGGAGGTAGAGGACTTGCTCCGGAAAGGTGCCTATGGTGCCTTAATGGATGAGGAAGATGAAGGCTCCAAGTTCTGTGAAGAAGACATAGACCAGATTCTGCAGAGGAGAACCCACACCATCACCATCCAGTCTGAAGGGAAAGGATCCACTTTTGCCAAGGTATTGGCCCTTCTCTGCAGAGTCCTTGTTGGGTGGCAGTGAAAAGGAAGTTCTTATAATCCCTGATGCTTGTTAGCCAGGCTCCTACTTCTCTAAGTGCAAACCGTTGAGATTGTCTAGCTGCATGTCTGTACTGTGTGCCACCCTGAAGATTCAGGTTCTTAGAGGGAGTCTGAATAATGGGTCAGAAGCTATAAAAGAAAACACTCTGAATCGTCAGAGCTGATCCTCAGGGGGCAGGATGGACGCTTGGATTTGCAGTTTACACTCTTCCCTATTCACAGAGACTCCTCCAGAACCCTTGAATGGCCATCTCGACTCCCTTGCGCACTCCTTGATGAGTGTCAGAGAGTTGAAATGCCAGTGAACACTCCATTCCTCAGACTCAAGCAAGTATTTTGTTCATTTCAAGAGAAAAGAGATTTTATTCAAGATTCCCAGCTTCTGACACAACGTTGTAAACTGACTGTAACTCAATTTAAAAAAAACTGTAAAAAAAAAAAAAAAGATTCCCAGCTTCTAGTTTAGATGCCTCTTTCCTCTGCCCATCGGATCACTGTGTTTAGAATTCAAGTCATCAGACCACTTCCCAGATCACTCTCAGGCTGCCCTTGCCATGGGCTCTGGGAGCTTCCTGGCCTGTCTGGTTCAGCCACCTGTGTGGTGCCTTGTGGAGGGAGGGCTTTTCCAGTAAGGCATTTTGTGCTCGGTCTCTGCATCTCCTACTGCCTAACCCGGTGCCTTTCCCAGAGCAGACACTTTGGGGTGAACTGAAAGAAAAATTCTATCCAGGGCAGTTTTAAGGATTAACCTCTCATGGGCAACTAGACGTACGTTGCCATTGTCTTCCAGGGGTTGTCCTCCTGCTCCCAAGTTTAAGTTAGAAAAAATGATCCTGTAGGTTGAAATTGTAATTTCCCCACTCAATCTTTAAAATACAGTTTTAAAGGAATAGCTTTGAGATTTTCCCTTTCATTTTGGACGCTCTGTTAAGGGTTTTGGTTTTGAAGGCAGATGGATAATATGCTTGAGTCTCTGGTGCATTTGAGATCACACAGGTGTTTTGTTGATTTCTACTGTGTTCATGCAGTTTATTGACTCTTCTTCACAGGCTAGCTTTGTGGCTTCAGGAAACAGAACGGATATTTCCTTAGATGACCCGAACTTTTGGCAGAAATGGGCTAAAATAGCTGAACTGGACACTGAAGCAAAGAATGAAAAGGTACGGCAGTGAGAGTACTTCATTTCATTGAGCATTTCTCTGGTGTCTTACAGAACCAGCTCAAATTATTCTTTACTCCTGAGCCTTAGTTCTTAAAGAAGGTGCTATATGTCACTCGCTTAAAACACGCCTGGCACGTAGACAGGGCTTGAGAAATGTTAACTGTTATAATTTAAAATGACCTAATGGGGCGTATAGTCTGCTGGGTACCTGAGAAATTCGACAAAGACAGTTAGAACTGGAACTGGCCAGACAGGTCAAGGTCAGCCCTCTGACCCAAGCCAACATCCCACCCTTGGCATGTGACTATTTTACCTCTGTTTCAACACTTCCTATGAAAGGAACTTTACCTCTGACAGATATTAGAGGGGGAAAAAAGCATGATGAAGAAAAGTTTGTTGGGATCACCTCCATTCTGTCTGTGTCTTGAATTTTTCTATTTCTGAACACGAGAAGAAGAATGGCCTTAGAATAACAGCAGAGCTTGAATACTGGCTGTGCCACTGACTAGCTCCCTGCCTTTGGGCAAGGAACCTGATCTCACTGAGAGTGAAGCAGATGAGAACAGAGAAAGTGGTGATGCCCACACTGCAGAGCTGGAGACAATGCTGTGGAGACAGCTGCCCAGTCCATTGTGAGGCGCCCCTAAGTGTTAGCTCCCTTCCCTCTGACCCTTCACCTCACTTCGGGTTGAGCACGCGTCACTTTCTACCCGCCTGGGCTGCATGGAGGAGTATTCAGGAGCTTAGCCGAGCTTGGGGAAGAGGTACGGGGGAGGAGGTGAGAAGCAGGAAACGGTGGAGACCAGAGGAGCCCCCAGAATGGGTGAGTTCCCTGAGACAGAGATTATCTTTTCCGTGAAAGACAAAAGGTTAGTGGTGCCAGTGGAAGATAGAAAATGAAGCAGCAGTAATACATGTTTGTCTTCAGAAAGTTGCTGAGCAGATGGAATTCTGCGACTTCTCCTGTCTCCAGAGCACAGGCTGCTTCCACATGCTGGGTGGAACAGCTGGGGTGCACCCCTCCAGTCTTTCTTGGCAAGAACAGGCTGCCACTCTGGGCACTGGGGGCCCTTATCTGCCCAGGCCCCTATTAGAAAGACTGCAAAACCAGCAGATGGTGGCGGCCAACACTAGGGGCTGGGGAACACGCCAACTTCAGCAAGTCCCAGAGAATCCCCTCTGCCAGTCGTGGACACAGCAGGTGTGCTGGGAAGAGCCTTTCCTGCTGCCGGATGAGGCGGGGGTGTGGTTCTTTGTGCATTGTGATGGGGTGATGGGGGAAGAGAGAGGAGGGGCTTGCTTTCTCCCCAACAGTCCTGTCTGTTTGTAGGAAAGCTTAGTGATCGACCGCCCGCGCGTGAGGAAGCAGACCAAACACTACAACTCTTTTGAGGAGGATGAGCTCATGGAGTTTTCGGAGTTGGACAGTGACTCTGATGAGAGGCCCACGAGGTCCAGGCGCCTCAATGACAAAACCAGGCGCTACCTCCGAGCCGAGTGCTTCCGGGTGGAGAAGAACCTGCTCATCTTTGGGTGGGTACTGGCTCTGCCTGTTGTTGTGGTGGTGGTGTTCGTTATCCCCTCTGGTTTCCAGCCCCTGAGATTTTTCCAGTGTGTCTCTCCGATCACCTCTGGAGTCTGGGCTGGTGGAGGCTCTGCTAGAGTAAGAGAGAAGCGTGCCTTCTGCCCATGACCCCCCTCAGTCACTGCGCTCTGCTGCCCATATTGTGGATGTGCCATGGTTTTCTCATATGCCTGTCACAGCAAATCTCTGTTACTAATTTGCTGCCTGGTACTGATTTCCTGCCTTTCCCCTCAAGGATATATAAGGAATCCGCGCAACAGATGTTACAGTTAAGGCATGATTCGTGCAGGGCTCTGGCTCTGGTAGAGTAGAAGGTTTAGCTTCTGGGAGCTCAACATTGCTTTCCGATACTGCAGCTGGAGTCTGTTTTAATTCCAGATTTATTCTGTGCTCCAAATACTTTCGCCCCTCCCTTTTTAACATTCTGGTGGCCCTATGAAGCTTTTCGGTTGCCGATGTTCAGGGCGACTGATAAACCTGACTGAGCATGAAAAGCACTCTGGCTCCTGTTTGTCCGGTGATGTTGAGGGCATGCGTGGCCCTTCCTCCCTGTAACACCCTTCAATATTTCCACTGTCAGCTGGGGCCGGTGGAAGGACATCCTGACTCATGGGCGGTTCAAGTGGCATCTGAACGAGAAGGACATGGAGATGATTTGCCGCGCCCTGCTGGTGTACTGTGTCAAGCACTACAAGGGAGATGAGAAGATCAAGAGTTTCATTTGGGAATTGATCACACCTACCAAAGATGGGCAGGCCCAGACCCTCCAGAACCACTCAGGTGAGGGGTGGCAGGGCCATGCCTACAACGCGTGAACCCCCTGAACTTCCTTCCCTCTTCCTGGGTTGGTCCATTTGCTTGCTGTGGGGACTTCTCTTTCTCAGGTGTATTTCAGAATGTTATCTGTGGGAAAGGATGCTGATGCTTTCCATTCTCCCTCAGAATCATCCAGTGTTACCTGTGGTGTTTTGTTTAAGTGCTGTTGGGCCCTCTTGAAGTCCTCCGTGTGCCAGTCCTGCCCACTGATCTGGGTGTCACAGGGCTCCTCCTCTGACTGGGGGCTCACACTGTGTGCTCTGTGGTTGGTCTTTTGCATCTCACCCTTCTGTCCCAGTTGCACTTGTCTGTGCGTTTTGTGCCGCTTCTTCCCTGTGCTGGGCTGTAGCTCACCTTCAAGTCTCAGATCGAGTGTTCCTTTTTCCCCAGCTAGGTTGTGAGGTCCCCAAGGGTACAGGTGGTGGTACACCTTTCTTGATCCTGCAGGGCACTCGGTAAATTCTTACCGCCTGACTGAATGGTCCACTCAGTGTGGGGACCAGGCACGTGTCCTCGCCGTCAGTACTTGGGGAACTGAGGAGGGGCCTGTTGTCCAGGGCTACGGTTCGCAGCCTGGCTGCCTCTTTGCGACTCTAGCCCAGCTCTGCTTCTGACACCCAGGTTTAAGCCTCCTTGACCATCTACCTGCCTTTCTGTTTCAGGGTTGTCTGCTCCAGTCCCCAGAGGGAGGAAGGGGAAGAAAACGAAGAACCAGCTGCTGCTCCCAGAGTTAAAGAACGCAGACTGGCTGGCCACCTGCAACCCCGAGGTGGTTTTGCATGATGACGGCTACAAGAAGCACCTGAAACAGCACTGCAACAAGTGAGTGTGCCCCTCCCCACCTTGGTGGCAGCTCCACCTGACCCTGCAGCTCCCTGGGACCCCCGTGGGGCTGTGGGAGACCACTCGGTGTCCCTGTGCTGCCGTATGAGGTATGGAAAGGCAGGCTGTGAGGTCTAAGCTGGGTCAGGATTCATTCGCATTGAAGCCTCTGTAACTCCTTTAACTCCCTTCTCCCCGGGACCTGGCCTCTCTTCCCAGTGCAGCTTGTACAGGATTTTCTGACGTCACTCTCAGGACCCCCTGAGGACACTGGTGATTTCACTGCTGTTCGCCTTTTCCTTTCCCTCCCTTCACCCCCGAGGGCACATTAGCAAGAGCAGGAGCCTGACCTTGTGGCCGCACTGTCAGCCTCTCATGCCAGTCGCTTTCCCCTCCGATTTGCTTTGACATTCATGACCTCCAGGCATTTGATGGACATGCATTTGAGATGGTATTCTTTATGTCTTGTAGGCTAACAGCTGGGGTGGGGCACACAGTAACAAAGGAAGAGGTGATAGAAAACGAGACTGTTCTTGTGAAGTTTCATTTTAGGGAGTTAGGGCACCCAGCCACAAAACAATGACAAGTTTGCACATGGATATTTGCATCACTGTACAGTGTCTCTGTTAGAATAATCACAGTAACTTCTGCCAATGATAGCTAGTGTTTTGTTTTTCAGGTGCTTTCTCATGTATTACTTCAAAACCTTGATGACATGGGAATGCCCAGAATTCCCGTGGGTCAGCTTGGAGGTCGCAGTTCATGGGCCACTTGTGGGTTATAACGTGTTTCATTACCGTGTTCACCTTTCATAGGGTACTTTTGCGTGTCCGGATGCTTTACTACCTGAAAGCCGAAATACTGGGAGAAGCAGCTGATAAAGCGTTTGAAGGAACTCCTGCCAGGTAAAACAGGTCAACCTTAATTCCCAGTGTTAAAGAATTGCCATAAAGTGCCTGTGGATGGAAATGGACAAACCCGCCTGTGTTTCGAGAGGCCCATGTTCCTTCCGCCCAGGATCAGTTACTGGTCGAGCAGGCAGGTGGAGCAAGGATGATTCAGTCAGGTTAACTACAAGTGAAATAAAGAAGAAAACAGTTGCTTAAAAGCACAGCTCTTGATGAAGTTCTTAGTTGTTTTTCCCCCCAATAGTGTGGTAAAATTGCTTTTCAAGCAGTCATTTCTCTACTTCAGCCATTGTAGGCTAGATACTAATGACTCTGATGCTGGATCCAACAGGTGTGGACTGAAAGCTTCACTCAGAGTCCCACTCTTGGCCTTAGTCCTCTTCTCCCTTTATGTGGTTCTCCTTTGTTTGCTAATTATATTGCTGATACCTTGTCACCTGTTTGATGTGTTTCGCCTTAGTTTTTTAAATTAGTGTTTCCAAAGCTGTAGAATCCTGTAGGAATATCCCAAGATTTGGGGAAATGAGGCTGCCAAACCCCCAGCTGCCACTTGGTTGAGCTGTCAGATAGTTTTTAGGAGGGATCCCCGCACAGTCTGCTTCACCTTCCCCAGGTCTGCAGTCTGCTCCTGCCCGGTACGGTGCTGCTCGTTCCCAGAGGACCCCAGCGGTGTTAGTGTCTGAACTTTGCTTTGCGATTCCCTGGGGCTCTGGTTTCTTCTTTCTCTTGCTGTCCGTTAGGCAGTGCTAATGGCTTTAGTGAGCACTAAGGAGAGAGGTGAAGCGCACGGACAGTCCTGCCTGTGAGGCATTTTTTGTAATGAGGAGCAGTCATCGCAGTGACCGTTACTGCTTGATATGCTTTTGGTTGTTTTGGTGAGCATTTCTAGTAGGGATAGGGAGGTTGGGTATTTTGGTAAAAAGTTTCAATTAGTGAGACATGTAAGTGCAGCAGAATTCAACCTGATTGTTTATATCTGCCAGTGTTACCTGGCAGAAGTAATCTACCTGAATTTACTCATCGTCTTGTCACGTGCTTTCTTAGACATGTAGATGGATGGCAGTTAGGTAGAACATGGAGAGAGTGAGTCCATTGCCCGCCCTCTTCCCTCCTTTCCTCAATCTTAGCTCTTACTGGTCCTGTTCAAGTTAAATGCCTTATTGTGAAGAAATTGAGGAACCCCCTGGGGGTTCATCCCCCAAAAGTTGTTCAGCCCGTGGCACCTTATGGGCAGAGCAGTGAGCCCTGTAGACAGATAAGGAGCGCCACCTGGGAAGGTGGGGGCTAGGGAGCGCCATCCCTGCAGCAAGAGCCAGGCCTGGCCCGGTGCAGTCAGCCCAGTGTCACAGTAAGAAGAGCCTAATGGAAGAAGAAACTTCAGATGTTGCAGAGGGACCATCCCAGGCAGCCAGGAGGTGGGAGAGAGGAGCCATGCAGGTAGATGTAATACCCCAGACCCCAAAGCCTTCAAAGGGTAAGAACGATGCTCAGACAATGAGACAAAGCTCTCAGAACATGGACAGAAACTCAAGAGCAGCTGATGGCACCGGCCTGCTAATTAATCCCTGCACATCTGCTCTGTAGGCTGAGCTGTGTTGCTCCCTCTGGCCAGAAGTGCCACTTATGGTCAGTTTGACCCAGCAGACCATTAGCAGACCAGTGCCAGGAAGTCTCTCCTATTTGGCACCTGTCCTCTGAAAGGCTCTTTTCATGTCACCATGTGTAGCAGTGCAGACTGACTTGTTCTCAAGTAGTGCTTGATATCTCTACGTATTGAACCAAGATAATTTGGGCACTTTTCAGCATTTGATCACGTACGAATTCAAACACTTGAGCAGTGTTCTGCCTTCAGATAACCAATACATTGCTGGCTTTTGCTGTGGTTGTCAGTTGAAGGTGCACATTAGAACTGCCTTACAAGGGGGCGGAGGGTGGGAAGGGATAGTCGGGATTTCAAAACTGTAGAATAGATAAACAAGATTATATTGTATAGCACAGGGAAATATACACAAGATCTTATGATACATCACAGAGAAAAAAATGTGACAATGTATATATGTTCACGTATAACTGAAAAATTGTGCTTTACACTGGAATTTGACGCAACATTGTAAAATGATTATAAATCATAAAAAATGTTAAAAAAAAAAAAAACTAGCCTTACATATGTAGATCCCACAGCCCGACCCCATAACAGACTCATGATGAGTTCTCCGGGAGGTGCTTTCAGATTCTGCATGAGTCAGTCTGAGTAGAGCCTGAAAATCAAGTCCATATGTTGAAATAGCTTCCTGTATAAACCTGGTTCGAAACCCTGGTTAAGAAACCTTGGCCCCCAGCTGCCTGAATCCTCCCATTTGTTGTTACTTCAGCTTTTCGTCATGGAACTAGGGATGTGGCTTAACACCAGGGTTCAGGCCAGTCTTGTGTTGCTTTCTGTTGGTGTTGACGGAACTCTGAGTCCACGCCCTTCCTTCCACAGGGAGCTGGAGGTGCCTCTGCCCGACATCGACTATGTGGAGATCCCAGCGGATTGGTGGGACGCTGAGGCCGATAAGTCCCTTCTGATTGGCGTGTTCAAACATGGTGTGTATTTCAGTGAATGTGTTCTCTTTCCTGAAAAACTCTGTAGTCCTATTGCACGTCTCTCTTAAAAAGTAGAGCCTCACCTCTGTCCTAGAAATTCGGCCAGACGAATGTGTGAGTCATGGCATACAATGAGTGTCAATATCAGTGAGGAACTTTGTGAAAGGGGGCCGCAGACAGTCTGCTCAGTGTGTATCTTCCTCATGAGCCACTCCTCACTGTCATGCCTGGGACAGCCCTGCTCCTGTTCACTCCGAGAGCCCCAGCATCTGGCCTAGTGACTGTCGCTTGGTAGGCCCCAGGGTTCCTTGAGTGAAGGAACAAATAAATGGGGAAAATGTGAGGTTTAGCATTTCATATGTATGCAGAATTCTAAGGTCATTCAAGCTAATCTGCATATTCCTAGTGTGTATCTTTTGCCCTATTAGTATGCAGATTTAAGAATAAAAGATGGCATAGACATCCTTTGTTTTAAATGTGGTACCTAGAAACTAAAGGGGAGCGAGAAGGTTTTTGAGTAGCTTGGAAAAACTGAAATAAATGCCCTGTTTCTTCATTTCTGGCACTTTTCTAAGCACCTGCCCTTGCTTTCAGTCAACTGTTAAAATGAAAAATGAAAGTGCCAGATTATAGTCTCTGTAATGCCCCTGATACGCACCTCCCTACTAGGTAAATTAGCCATAATTTTGAACTAGAGAGCAGGGTTTAAAGTAGGAAGAGCTAGGTATGCCTGACACTCTCCTCCACAGAAGCCAATGGCCACGTGTGGCTGTGGAGCACTTGAAATGTTACTCATACAACAGAGCAACTGTATTTTTTATTTTATATCATTTTAATTAGTTCAAATTTAAATAGCCATGTGTGGCCCCTCCATTGGACAGCATGGGGTGAGAACTCAGCTCTGAAATGGGAAGAGGAACCATGGGGCCTCCCTGTTAATAAGCACAGTGAACCACAGTGCAGCCGAAACTTGGTTTAATCTAATTTTGGAAAGAACCCAGAAGAAGACAAGCTGCTGGAGACAGCCACGTTCCACAGCACCTGAGCTTGGTGTGTGTGGGAAAGCCTGCTGACCCCGTGTCTTACTTCGGTGGTGATTTTAGGGCACATTGCCAAATCCCTGCCTGGAGACAGTGTGATGTGAAAAGATGCAGCCTGAGGTCCCAGCAGGATGGCTGACAATTCACACACTTCCTCTCCCTCCCCTACCCGAACACACACCCCACAGACACAGAAAGCCTTGGTGAATTGTGACGGCAGTGTTAAACCACCTAGCTGAACTCGAAAGAAATTAAAGAAAACCCCAATGAGAGGTCACTTAAAGCCAGAGCTGAAAGCTCAGGGGCTGATGTGACAGCAGACCAGTGGGGCTGGGCTTCTAACACCCTCACAGAAGTGGGAAACCAGCCCCTCCAGGAAAGGAGGGCAAGATAAGGCTCTCTGACTGGCTCAGGGAAGCAGAGCTGGACGGACAGACCCCTGATTGAGGAAGAAATAGCGGCATGAAGGAGAGAGCGAGATGGAAGACAGGATGAAATCGACCCCTAAAGGGGAAGCCAAGTTGTTCCAGGCAAGTCCTCACAGCAGCCAGAATAAAACAAAAACAGAACACCAGCCTGGCAGATAGAGACAGTATTATACAAAGTCTTTACGACCAAAAGCTTAATTTGGGATAAAGAGGGCCGTTGCACAACGATGGTGGGTATCATTCACCAGGAGGAGATCGCTAACGATCCTAAGGCTAACGGTGTAGCCTCAGATTGTGCTCGAGGGGACAGGACTCTGCGGAGGCCCACGCCCCTCCTCCCTCGGGAAAGACAGGTTAATATTGGCACCACACCTACTGGTTTCATAATCCCTCATCAAGGTTTAGTGGGAATAATCAGTTGATCTCTTAGTCACATACTGGAAATGGGAGAGGGACAATCAGATGATGTCTAAGGTTATTTCCAAATCTAAAACTTCTGCTCAGTGAAGCAGTTTTAGGGGTACAAGTTAATAATTCCTAAGTAGTTCCTGAGCACACCTGTGAGACCTTAAGATGATGCATCACCCATTCCATCCACATTCTCCCAGATCTCCAGTTGAGAGTCAGAGCTGAGGGCAGGTGCCAGGAAGGTGGCGTGTGCAGTGCCTGAAGTGCTGGTGGTTGTGAATGAGGAGCCCAGCAGACACATTGTAAGGATGGGGAAAACCTAGCCTCTGTACCCAGTGCTGAGGCGCTGGCTTTCAGCCACACATGCAGACTGGCTCACTCTTGATTAGGATCAGACTCACGTAGTTGGACAGTGATAGTGGAGTCAAACCGAGGCTACGCTGGACAGGTGCCTGCTGTTGGCTTCGTGGGCCCATCCTCCTTGGTGTCTTGCAGAGACCAGATCGGATCCTGCTCCTGGCTGAGTGCTGCCCATCAGACATTCCATGAGCATAGGCTTAGACCTGTCCTCATCTGGATAACACCCGATCACCCCATATAACTTAGCCCTCTCCGCAAGATAACCAAACCCACACAGCATGTCTCACCAGGTGACAAACTCCTGATACCCAGCAGCCAGTGGAGATGTGACATTTTCAAAGAGCCAAGCCGCCTGGTGTCTATTTTTCAAGGCTATCACTCACTTTCCCTGCCTTGACTCTGTGCCCTGGAGACATAAGTATGAGCTGTCGTGCTGCAGCCATTGTCTTTGTTAAAAAACACCCAGCTGTTCCTTGTCTGGGGTTTTGTGGATCTTTTAGCCCCCTCCCCCGAGACATAGCCTGCTACCACCCTGCTTAGATCAGACGACTGCTGCCCCAGTTCCATCTCTGAGCTGACCACCCAGAATTAGCTGAGTCTTCAGTTGGGGCTTCCGCTTACAGCAGGAAGGGCCCTGCAGCAAATGTGTTCTGAACGATGCTCTTGACAGCTCTTGATCCCTTCTAGGGCAGCTTGGATTTATGAAATATTCATCAAGATACGGATTTTAGTATTTCTGTTCATATACTTACAGAGGAACTTTTAGACTAAGTGGAAAGAGGCAAGCAGCCTACGCCGCCTCAAAGGCCTGTCATTCTGCTATTTATGTCTTTATGTTGCTGTTGCTGCTCCTTCTCCTTTCTGTTCAGGACAAGTGTTAGGGTTTTCTGGGGAACTGAATCAATCACACTCCCCCGCCTCCAGCTTCATAGCTGGTTGAGAAATAGAGATGCAGAATCTGTCTAGACTTCACACCCACACGTGACGAGAAGTCTACAGAATAGAAACGCACGCAGGTAGTAGGTACCTGGAGGAGCCCGGCCCACTTCAAGCCCTGGCCAGCACAGCTCGTGCGAAGGCCGGACAGTCGTGGACAGTTAACCTCCCCCAGCGGTCAAGGGTCAGTGGAGGAAGCCTTCGCCCTCTCATCTCTCAGATAAAGCCTCCCTCTTCTCATGGGGAGGGGCCAGTGGAGACAGCAGCAGGCACTTCTTCAAGACAGGGGCATGGAGGACATTTCTGTTTTGGTGTTTGATGTCACTTGAGGCAGAACATGGGGAGAGGGTTCTTGAGAACATGAGAAGAGTTCTTCTGCAGTGATTATTGGAAGAGAATCTGGGCCAAACTGATATTCAGTCAGCTGTTCGTTGAGTGTGTGTGGCGTCAGGCCCTGTGCTAGGTGCTGAATACATAACGATGAGTAATAGCAGGTACAGATTCTGTTCCCAGGGAGCCCACAATCTCATGAGACTTAACAGTAATCAAATGATTGCCCCAACGAGTAAGAGAGTACGAAGAACGTAAGGCCCCACAGTTCCTCCTGCCGTACGCCTTGTGCGGGCAGCACCTGTCGTGAAGATGGCAGGAGAGTCACTTTGGGTTAAAAGATAAAGTACCTGCAGCTCCTCAGGAAAAAGTACCAGGTGCTGCCTGCACATGAAGGATCGAACAGCATTTTTGTAGTAAAACAAAAATCAATGTAGAAGTAAGACACCCAGCAAGTAAAATCAAGTCTGTTACTAGCAGCCAAGCCAGCTCTCACTTCAGGCACAGCATCTTCTGTCGTCTATGATGGGGTCTTTCTGCACATATTGCAGAGCCGGAAATTACTCTGTTTGCCCTGTAGGAGGAACATGGAAAGGGTTTTGATGATCATGAAGGAATTTCCCCCAAAATAGTTTGATACGACAGTAGGTTTGGCTCTTTTACGCGACCAAATCCTCCTGTCTCATAAGATTACATTAGATTCAGTAAAATAATAACAAATTCTCATGCACAGTGTTACCAAATTAAAAGTGTTAGTTTTTCATTGTTTTGCCCTTTTGAGGTCTCTCTTCTGGATCAAAAATCCTCCATCTGTTTTTGACTCTGGCTTTGAGTCGGGGGCCATCCCAAAACCCTGGCCAGTGGAGTAGGATTTCAAACTGAGTGTGAGAATATAGAGACAACAGATCTGTTTTAATCCAATTGACAATCACAGTGGCCCTCTTTATATTTTATCCTTTGATCCATCACCTGCCTTCCCTTTCTAGCACTGGGATAAAATTAGACTCTAAGAAAAGTAGGCCTATTCAGGAGTTGACAAGATAACAGGGCGTCCAGAGTTGAGGGGTGGTGCAAGCAAGAATTTGCAAAACCAACTTGCTTGATTTCCTTGCTGTTCAAAAGAATCAAACAAGTGGAAATTATATCTGTATCTTGTGTGTCTTCGTGGACGCAGGATATTTATATCAGCTTTCATTTCTGGTCAAGCTCTACTCAGGTGTCCACTTAAGCTCAAGAATCTTCCCCTGACAGGAAATCTCATTGGATCCAGTTATTCTTAAGTAAATATTTTTGTTTGTTTTGCTTTTTGCATAATAAAGGAAAGAAAATGACTGTCATGGGTGCACGGCAGATTTTGTGAGTTCTGACATGACCTCTGTTGCTTCTCATTACTCCTGGTCAGGTTACGAGAGGTACAACGCCATGCGAGCAGACCCAGCGCTTTGTTTCCTGGAGAAGGTTGGGATGCCGGACGAGAAGTCCCTTTCTGCAGAGCAGGGCGTTACAGATGGGGCCTCAGATGTCCCGGAAAGGTGAAGCTACGTGGACCAAGCACAATGTGACTGGTCACGCCATGAATCTCCCTCCCACCACATACACCCAACACTCTCATAGCCTCTCCCTTATAATCTGGCATCTCCCTCAGACCTGAACTGCCTTCCATAATTGCTTCTTTGGTTACATCCTATGATGCTTCCGGCCTTTCCTTTGACTTCTAAGCACTTTGAACCAAATACTAGTTCCTATCCTTCGTGGGTTCCCCAAGCCACCCACCGTCCTGCCCTACTCCTTAATTAGGCTCATCTGGTCAGAGGATTCTCAGGGAAAAATTCAGACCTGTTATAATCTCTCATACTTGGCAGAAAGTTAAGAAGAGGCACAGCAAATACATGCTTCCTGACCTTGAAATGCCCCAGATGAAATTCCAGCATTATCTAAGGATTCCATGGTCCATGAATAAGGTGCACTTAGGAGCCGCTGCTTGACAACCGTGGCATTCAGGTCTTGTCAGTGGGTTATGTGCAAAGAAGTATGGAAGCATCCCCTTTGTCTGAGTTTTGTTTCCTTTTGTTCCCCAAAATGTGTAAATTCATAGGAAAGCTAAATAAACAGCCAAGAACTGTGGTTCTCCAAAATATGTATGTATTTGGAAAACATAGCATCTATCTCTTAGCTTGTGTTCGGTAAGTTTTTGGCCTGATCTTCTCCCCAGAAGTAGCAGATACTAGTTCGCATTTCCTAGGGCCGTGGGCAAGCCCGGCATGAGGGCACACACTACCAGGAGCCCCTAAGCACCTGCAAAGGCTGAGAAAATGATGAAATGCATCTTCCATCTGTCCTTATCCCCTGATGAAGACTTCAGCTACCACAACATTTCCTGCCCCACAGATAATAAAGATGCATTCAAAGAGATGTTAACAAATGCCCAAAGGACTGGTCCCCAGTGCTGGATTCACTGGGTCGGAGAAAGCACTACTTGGGGGAGGTACCTGAACGTGCTTGTATTTTTGTGGAGTAGCTTTTCTTTCGGTGAGTAAGCAGTAAAGGTAGAAGGCTCCTCCTGCCTCCAGGGCCTGACCAGCAAAGAGAAGACTATTTGAGACAGGAATCCTTCGAATTTGATTTTAAAGGAATTGTGAAAAACAGATAGGCATCAGCAGTAGTTAAGCTCACAAGAGAGAAGACATTAGGCAGTGAACCTAAAGACGAGCAGCTGATGGTCAAGAGGCCAAAATGTCCTTCCTTAGCAGGCACAGCAATGCTCCCTTCCAAGGAAGTGACTGCTGCCAAATGTGATTCTGTGCGAAGACATCCTACTGTGTGATCTGGGGGTTGGCACAGCAGGACTCTTGGTTTGCATGGCCATCAGTCTCCAGAGTCTGTTCTTTTATCAAAGCCACATATTCAGATAATTCTCGATGGGCAGTAATTACCTTTTTAAAGATAATATTTTTGTTGAATAGCCTGCCTCTGAACTTGCCTGAGTAGATCATTAGTCTCATGCCAGAGTTTCAGTTGAGTGGAGGTCCTTGTACATAGAAGTTATGACACTGGAAAAACCAAGATTTTGAGGCCTATGGGGTAAGGAATCTGCTAATATTCTCTTTGGTCAGTGATTTAGGTGGTTTTCTTGCAAGCATCTTGGTCGCAAAATAGCTCCTACGTGGTGTACAGTGCTTTTTATTTTTTCATTTTATTTTATTTTATTTTAACTTCTATTTAGAGGCAACACAGATAAAGAAGACAATACTGAAGACAAAGTAGATGGCCTCCAGAAACAAATGGTGAGTGAAAAGTGCTGTGTTGGTGATCCACACGATTTTTAATATCAGGAGAGAAATCCCCATCTTGGTGTAGTGGTCTTGGGGAACTCGACTGCATTGCTGCAGTTGCATTGCATTTTCCCCAACATTTTATTATAAAGATTGTCAACACACAGACTGCTTTGCACTTTTATTCTAATGAAACTTTTGATTTGAGGTGGCTGTTTGCAACTGTGAGGTACGATACAGGGCGAGCCTGTGTACCTTAAAGTTTCCCACCATGGGAACATCTTGCAAAACTGTGGTACAGTATCACAGCCAGGATGCTGACAGTGATAGAATCAAGACACAGGACGTTTCCAAGACCACAGAGATCCATCTTGTTGCCCTTTTATAGCCACATCTGCTGCCCTCTTCCCTTCACCTCATTTTTCATTCCTAGCAACCACTAATCTATTCTCCATTTCTATAATTTTGTCATGTTAAGAATATTACATAAATGGAATCATACAGTATGTAACCTTTGGGGATTGGCTTTTGTCACTCAACATAATTCCCTGTGGATTGATCCAGATTGTCGTCTGTAACAATATATTCATTCCTCTTTATCACTGAGTAGTGTTCCGCTATCCATCCATTGAAAGGCATCTGGGTTGTTTCCAGTTTTTTACTGATGTGAACACCTCTGTAAACATTTACGTACAGATTTTGTGTGAACATACATTTCCATTTCTCTGGGATAAACTTCCAGGAGTACAATTTCTGAGTCATATGGTAGTTACATGTTTCGTACTTGTACCATTTTACATTCCCACCAGTGATGAGTGAGTGATTCACTTTCTCCTCATCTTCACTGGCTTTTGGAGTTGTCACTATGTTTTAATTGAGACATTCTGATTGGTATGTAGTGATAACTCATTGTGGTTTTAAATTCCATTTCCCTAATGGCTAATGATGTTTAACATCTTCTATGCTTAATTGCCACATGGGTACCTTGTCACTGAAATGTTTCTTCATGTCCTTTGCCCATTTTCTAATTGTGTTGTTTCTTTGTTTTATTGTTTGAGTTCTTTATACGTTCCAGATACTAGTCTTTTGTCAGATAAGTGGTTTGCAAATATTGTTTCCCACCCTGTAGTTTGTCTTTTTATCCTACTCACATTGTCTTTCACAGAACAAACATTTTAGATTTTGATGAAGTGCAATTTATCAGTTTTTCCTTTTATGGTTCACACTTTTGGTGTCAAGTCTAAGAACTCGCCCATCGTAGATCTTGAAGACTTACTTCTGTTTTTTTTTTCCTGAAAGTTTTATAGTTACACATTTAAGTCTGTGGTCCATTTTAAGTTAACTTTCATTAAATACAATTATGTTGAGGTTCTTTTTTTTTTTAATCTGTTAATGTCCAGTTGTTCTAGAACCATTTCTTTTAAAAAGCTATCTTTACTCCATTGAATCGTTTTGCTCCTTTGTCAAAAAATCAGTTGAGCATGTTTGTGTGAATCTATTTCTGGATTCTCTGTTCTGTTCCATTGATCTATTTGTCTATTCCTCTGCCAATAGCATATACTAGTATCAGTTCCTATAGCTGTATCTTAAGATTGGGTAGACTGATTGCTTTTACTTTTTCAAAATTGTTTTAGCTTTTCTTGTTCCTTTGCCTTTCTGTAAACATTTTAGAGTAGTCTTATCTGTATCTACAGAAATTCTTGCTGGGATTTTTATAGGAATTGTATTAAATATATCACTTTGGGGAAAATTGACATCCTTACTATATTGATTTTTTTCACTATACTAAAGCTTACGATATATATATATCTGTTTCAGTCTTTGATTTCTTTTATGACTGTTTTATAGTTTTTCAGCAAATATATCTGCTACGTGTTTGTAGATTTACCTCTAAGTATCTCATTTTCTTTGGAGTGATTGTAAATGGTGTTATATTTATGTTTATCTTACATCCTGCAACCTTGCAGAACTCAGCTCTAGGAATTTTTTAGGTTTCTTGAGATTTTTTACATCAATAATGATGTCATGTGCAAATAGGGATAGTTTTATTTCTATCAGATCTATAGTCAAAAGGAAATGCAGTTTTTTATCGTTAAGTATAATGTTAACACTAGGTTTTTTGTAGATGGGCTTTATCGAAGATGAGAACATCTTCTGTATCCCTAGTTTTCTGACATGAATGTATGTGGAATTTTGTCATGCTTTTTTGTACCTTTTGATATGATCATATGATTTTTCTTATTTAGCCCATTAACAAGGTAGATTACATTGATTTTTAAATATTGAACCTGGCTTGCATCCCTGGATAAACTGAGATGAACTCTGGTTGGTCGTGGTGCATGAATCTTACTGTTGAATTCTATTTGCTAATATTTTATTAAGAATTTTTAAATCTATATTCATGAGAGATACTGGTTTGCAGTTGTCTTTTGTTACTGTGTTTGTCTGCTTCTGATATTGGGGAAGTGTTTGCTTTACAAAATGAATTGGATGTTCCCTACTCTCCTGTTTTCTGATAGAGATTATCTAAAATTAAGTTCTTTAAACGCTTCATAGAATTCTCCAGTGAAACCATCTGGTCCTGGAGATTCCTTTTGGGCAGAGTTTTTACATTATGAATCCAATTATCTATCTATTTTGGATAAGTTGTGGAGTTTTTTCAAGACACTGGTCTATTTCCTCTAAGTTGTCAAATTTATGTGTTAAATTGTTCATACTGTTTTCTTACTATCCTTTTGACGTCTGCAGAATTTGTAGTTCCTAGTCCCTGTCTGGTTCCTGATATTGGCAATTTACATCTTTCTTTTTTCTTACTATTCTTACTAGGGATTTGTCTACTTTATCTTTTTAAAGAATCGCTCTTTGTTTCCTTGATTTTCTCTATTACTTTCTATTTTAAATTTCATTGATTCAGCTCCTTATTATTCCCTTCCTTCTGTTTGTTTTATTTTCCTCTCCTTTTTCTAGATATTTGTGGTGGGAACTTAGATTCCTGATTTGAGACTTTTCTGCTTATTTAATGTGTGCGTACAGTGCTACAAATTTCTCTTTCAGCATTACTTTAGCTGTGTCCCATAATTTTTACTGTTTATTATAAATAGTAAAATTTGTTGTTATTGTGTTTTTATATTCATTCAGTTTAATGAATTTTTTAAAACTTTCCCTGAGACTTACTCTTTGGCCCATGAATTGTTAGACACATGTTACTTAGTTTCCAAGTATTTGGAGCAGTGGACTGTCAGACTCCAAAATATAGGCATACTCAAGATGGAGAAATTGCGGGTTAGAACCAATCCATTGCCTTTGCTTTGACAATCTTACTGTCAGCGTTCTCTGGGACCCTGCACCCTGAAATGTACCTCTTCTGAGATGACCATTTCTTTCTGGCTGATTGACATAGGCAGAAACTAGGACACTAAATGCTCAACTGCAGGCTTCAGAGGCAGGGCTTTCTGTGTACTTCCTGTGATCCCAGCCTGCCACTGCTATATAGCACGTCACACACACACGTTAAATTGGTTATGTGACTATAAGATTATGACTTCTTTTTCACTTGGGCTGCTGCTAAGCCAGGACTTCTCCTTCCTATCATTGCTAGAGAGGGGCGAGCCCCCAGGAGAGAGCAGGAGACAGAAAAGGCATTTAGCAATACCAGAATCTTTCCTCCTTGAGAGTTTGGCTAAGGCCAACAGAAACTGTTAGGGGGACTGGAAAGGAAGCCTGAAGGTCATGTGTGTGCCTTACACCAAGTCGGGAGCTGCCTCTGGGAATTCGGGGTATGGCAGCCCCACGTCTGCCACCTGTTCGTCATACTGAGGCGCGCGGTAGCTCTGGAGCCTGGCTCCCACGTTCTATAGGCTGTAGAACATTTATCAGCCTTGAAGTGTCAATAATTATGATTTTCAGCGTTCAAAAGATCTTCATGGATACTGTGAGGATACTCAAAAAATGTTCTGTATGGCAGGAAAGGATATAAGGCATAGTTGGTTGTTTTTTGCTTGCTTTTTTAACTACCTGAATAGTGGAGAAGGGTGCGATGGCATGTTTAAGTACCGCTTCAGAATGGTACAGTAGATCAGCCTGAGGTTTCCACGCTTCACTGATACTAGGTGGCAGGAAACAATTGTGGCCAAAGAAGAGAGGTTAAACTAGTATTCTCCGATTCTAAGTATGTTTCACTCCCTAAATCAGATTTTCAACCAGGACTCTGCTGTTTTTTGGGTAACTTAGTGGGTAACATGTAGGCACTCATCAGACACTGTGTTTGAAACCTAGCTTTGCCCCTTGATAGCTATGTGACCCTGGCAAGTTAGAGAAATTTCTAGGGCTTGTTCTCTGCATCTATAAAATGAAGGTAGTAATACTTTCTATCTGGTGAAGCAGCTCTGGTGACTAAAGGAGATAAGCCACGAAAGCGTTTTGCTCAGTAACACATAGTTCTCGGTACCATCAGCTATCATTACTGTTCTTGTAAGAAAGAAGTGCACACCTGCGCCTCTCTGCCTTTTCAGGGTTTTCTCTTTCAGGTCCTTCCACAGTATTAGGGGCCCAAGAGTGGTTTGCATTCCAACTATTGCCAGTCGTGGGTGTCTGTCCGTTCTTCCTGTGCTAGGTTACTGCTCTCCTGGGCTGTGTCCCAGTTTCCTGTGAAGGGCCAGATAGTAAATATCTCAGTCCTGGAGGCCACAGAGTCTCCGTCACCTCTTCTCCTTTGCCTCCTCCTCCTTCTCCCCCTTCTCCTGCTCCTTTCCTCCTCCTCCTCCTCCTCCTCCTCCTCTTCCTCTGCCCTTTAAAAATGTAAAAACCGTTCTCAGCTTGAGGGCCACACAAAAAACAACCTACAGGCTACGGATTGCTGACACTTACTTTGATCTGACCCTGAGCTCCACTGTGGCCAAAGTCCTGAATCCTGGGGCTGTTCTCGCCCATCACTCAGGTCAAAAGGTGCTAGTCAGAAAAACGAAAAGTTAGGTGGGGGATGAGTGAAACATGTGAAGGGGGGATTAAGAGGTACAGACTTCCAGTTATAAAGTAAGTCATGGGGATGTGGTGTACAACATGGGGAACAGAGTCAGTGAGATTGGAGTAACTTCGTATGATGACAGGTAGTAACTACATTGATGGTGGCGATCATTTTATAATGTGTACAGATGTTGAATCATTATCTTACACACCTGAAACTAATGTAATATTGTAAGTCAACTATACTTCAACAAAAAATAAGTTTTTTGTGTTAAAAATGGAGTTCAGTTGAAGACTAGCTGTCTCTTCACCCACGCCCAAACTCCCACTTGCTTTATGTATAAGGAGCTTTTAAAGTTCCATTCCTGAGACCAAGAAAGGGTTCATAAAGGACTCCATTAGAACCAGCTTGACACATACTCCAACTTGGATAAGCTTTATGCCTGTGATATTACTCCAGATCCTGGAGCCTCAGATCGTGATTTTAATTTTAAATTCCTGGAGTTTTGCGCCATCAGGTCTCATGTCTGGAGCAGTCATGTTTTAGGAAAATAGCGTCTATTGCTGTGAAGTAAACTCAGCATAATGAACATGAGCATGACACTTTTACACAGCAGAAAACCAAAATGCAGGCACATGCTCCGTGAAATGACAGTATTAGATTGCAAGTGACGATGGTAAAGCAAATATTTAAATTCGCAACTAAAATAGTGCGCGTAAAATGTAATTGCCGGGGGAGCGTGCCAGTTCATCATTCTTCAAGCTAATTCTCTACAGGCAGACTCACTCCACACAATTTCAGGGGAAAAATGCTTATTTTAAATCGACTGCTTTCTGGCTCTTAGAAGATTGTGCCTAAGTAAGCTTTATTTATCAGGGACCATCTTGACATTTGAGGTGTTCCTGGGCAGGAGATGTCTCCTGCACATCTCTACCCCTGATGTATACAAGCTGGCTATCTGAGTTGATTTCTTCTGAGCTGCAATTTTGCTGATGGGATGACTTCATTTATCCCTAGGAGAATTCCAGTGATGGAGCTGATGGCATTTTTGGTGAAAAGAAGGATGACAGCCGGGCAGGTGAGACTGTGTCCTTCTGAAGGCAAAGAAAAGCAAGGTCCCCATTTGTAGTTATCCTGGAGTTCATGTGTAATTTTTTTTTAATGCTGTTTTTTAAGAAGGTTCTTTTTAAAAGCCAGTTAAGCTGATCTTCATCAAACTCTGCCAGAGTCACACATAGAGCTTTACATGACTGGCAGTCTTCCTCTCCCTGGCATTGAAATTTTGCAGTGAAATGAAGTCAGGATAGAGTCTGAGAGATAAAAAGAAATAGTGGTTTCATTGATTTTTTTTTCTTTTTTTTTTTTTTCCAAGAAAAGTTAGGGGTATTTGGTTTGTTCTTTTGTTTGTTTTTCTGAATTCAGGCTTAATGGAGGCTTTGGCGTTTGGAAGGCCCAGCTACACAAAAGCCCATAGTTTTGTATGGAGACAGCCATGGAGGGGCCGCTTTATTCCAATGCCCAGAGCAAGGCCCTTGAATCCGCTCTGCCCTCACAGACAGGCACATTTGTATTTGAGAGAGAATAGAGCCAACCACACCTAAAGCTGCTTCTAAAGCAGAGCTGCAGCCCTCCCGGCCACGCCTGGCTCCTGAGCTGCTTGTTAGACAGCGGCTACGTCCGTTAAGTTACTGAGTCAGCGTTAGTTTTACTTAAACAAAGGGAAACAACAACAACCAACAAAACCATTCACCTTTGTTTTAGTTCTGTTTGTGAATACTAATATCCTCACTGATGTTTGAAGCCCAGGATGGCTCCGACCCAGACAAATCACCCTGGCCAGTTTCGTCCGCCCTCACAGCCCGTCTCCGACGCCTGGTCACTGTTTACCAGCGCTGTAACCGCAAGGAGCTCTGCCGACCTGAAATCCTGGGACCAGGAAGCCAAGGCTACTGGGTCCAGGAGGAGATGTTCCGGAGAACCTCAGAGATGGATCTCATCAACAAGGAAGCCCAAAAGAGGTAAAAGCCAGCTGAAAGACTTGAAAGAGTTGGTGGGCCAATGGGCCATTTTTATTATAAGTCACCACCCAACTTAACTTAAATAAAAATAATAAAATAGATAAACCAGCTCTGCCTGCTTTCTTGACTTCGTGGTCTTCCAAGCAGATGCTCGATAAGTAGTTGTTGGCTTTTTTTTAAAAGGAAAACAGCTCACGCTCTCTTTCTGATTCAATCTCAAGGTGGACCAGGAGAGAGCAAGCCGACTTCTACAGAACAGTATCTTCCTTTGGTGTCGTTTATGATCAAGAAAGAAAACCTTTGACTGGACTCAGTTTCGCATCATTTCGCATTTGGACAAGAAGTCGGACGAGAGCCTGGAGCACTATTTTTATAGTTTTGTGGCCATGTGCCGAAACGTCTGTCGTCTGCCGGCGTGGAAGGATGGCGGTGAGAAAACTCTCTGTCAGTATATCCCACGTGGGACAAGGAGAGAACGTGCTTATTTTCAGGGTACAGAGTTACTTTAGGTATAATTAGAGAAGTGGAGCCTACCTGAAAAATCCAGGTAAAGACAAGTGGGTTTTCACAAGTCCATGAACTTCTAGTTGGGTCCACCCTCATAAAACAAAATCTCTCCCACAATGGTGTAATGCCAACAAAAACTGGAATTCAGATTAAAATGTCACAGAAATATTGAAAGCTACTGTTATTTACCTTTTCTAAAGTATGTTTTAAACAAAAATCTCATAGAGATTTATCCTACTGTGAACTTTGCACCTTCCTTGGATTAAATCTTAACTGTTTTCTCATGTGCTGACTTACAGCTATGGAAAATGAGTAGCTGTCATTAAACATCCCCTGCTCCAGTAGTGACCCCTTCTGAGAAATTGCATCCTGGCTGGAATTTGCAGCAACTTCCTCCTGGTCCCTCTTCAGTTTCATGCTAACGGATTAACTCACTGTGGACTATGTGACTGTATTCCAGGAAATCCCAAACACTGAGCCTGCTTTGTAGGTTCTGGGCTGGCAGCAGCATATACATACATCCCACCTTTTGCCCCTATGTGGCATGGTTAGGCTGTTTTCATTAAAACCAGAGAGCCGCATAGATTGGAAAGATCTGGACCTTGGAGTCACACTGACAAGACTTGGACGGACTGGTTCTGCCACCTTGAGCAAGTCAGCTTATCTGAGCCCCCTTCCTCATCCTTAAACAGGGATGGTGATGGTTTATCATAGAATTTTTGTGAGAATTAAATCACATACGTAAAGTACCTGGTTAGAGGAACGCCTAGTACATGCTTATTGACTGGTATTTCCGAAACTGGAGTTCTCACATTCTTCTTTCACCCTCACTGGGTCTGTCCTGGTTTCATAAAAACCTTCCATTGTCTTTCAGCTTTTTGCTTCAGCAGGTGCACACACACATCGAAGACTGCCTTGCTGAGGCCCCAGGGAGTTCAACTCTGTGCTCAGAGATGCAGGAGCTCAGGTGGGCAGGAAATGTCCAAGGGCCACCTTAAGTGACAGGCTGTGTGTTTACCTTTCCAGGCCCCACAGATCCCAGCATCTACGTTGAACCCATCACTGAAGAACGGGCCGCAAGAACCCTGTATCGCATTGAACTGTTACGGAAGGTTCGAGAGCAAGTGCTGAGATGTCCACAGCTGCACGAGCGCCTGCAGCTGTGCAGGCCCAGCCTCTACCTCCCCGTCTGGTGGGAGTGTGGGAAGCACGATCGAGACCTGCTGATCGGCACCGCCAAGCACGGGCTGAACCGCACCGACTATTACATCATGACCGACCCCCAGCTGTCCTTCCTGGACGCCTACAGAAACTATGCCCAGCACAAAAGAACTGACCCCCAGGCACCAGAGAGTCTCTGTTGCCTTTACCCGACCAACTCCAAACTCTATGACTCTCTTACCTACGCTCACATGAGCAGGACTTCCGAATCCCTTGAACATGAACCGGAGAATCTAGTGAAAATAGAAGGTAGAGATGACCATCTTGGTCCGCCCAGGGGAAGCTTATGTGACATAACGTGTGAAAACTTTATTTCTAAAGTTCAGGATGTCATTTCCATCACCCATGATGAAAGTCTGCTGCCTGACTCCTTGGAGAGCATGATGTATGGTAAGAAGGTGCTGAGCCAAGAGCCAGGCTCTTTTCAGGAGAGCCCAGGCACCAATACAGAATCTAGACCTGATGCTCTGGCCGTCTCCACAAGCAGAGATGGGAACTGCCAGTCTGGTGGCCATGAGGCAGAACTAGCCTCAGGCCCCTCTCTTATGGACACTTTAGAAGCAGGGGTAGCTCAAATGAACATTAAAAATGAAAAACATTTGTTGATGTCTGTTTCAAAGGAAGGGGAACTGTGCTGCAGCGAGACAGGACAGAGACCTGAAGGCATTGGGCAGCTGGACACCAAATGCTTAGCCTCCCCTTCCTTGGACCAAGGAAATGAAAGTGGGTTTGTAGACATGTGCAATCTGAGTGTCTGCGACTCCAAAAGAAACCTGTCGTCAGATCAGCAGTTAATTGATTTATTAGAAAACAAAAGTTTAGAAAGTAAATTGATTCTGGGTCAGAACTACAGTGATGAAGAGGAGGAGGAGGAAGAAAATGAGGATGAAAACCTAGACCTGGCCACAGGCATGAGGGAAAGGCCAGAGGTCTCGCCTCTCACCGAGCCCACTGCTGCCATGCCAAGGGAGAAGAGCTTTGGCTTCCTTGTAGACGAAGCCAAGAAAGGAAGCCTGGAGGCCAGAAGCCAGCATCCTGAACCTCAGGGGGCTTTTCTCCCCACAGCCTGTCAGTGTCACTGCAAACACATGGAGAGGTGGGCACGCGGCCTCGAGAATGACGAGTTCGACGTGGAGAAGCCCCAGCAGTATAACCCAGACCTGTACAAAAGCAAAGCCAATAATGTCGCAGTGGAGGGTGAGCCCGCGGCTGTTCCTTCAGCGCTGTTTCAGGTGAAGCGTGAACTTTTAAAAGAGCCCTGGAAAGACAGCGCAGAAGGGAAACAGGGTTTTCCTGCGTGTCCCGAAGGAAGTGAGCTCAAGTCGGAAGACATGGATTTTGAGAGTAGAGACGAATATGACAGAGATGGAAACTGCCAGGGTCAAGGTACAGTATGTGGGACCTTGAATTTGGATCAGCCAGTTCTCACAAGACAGTCCCTGCATAGAGGGCTAGTGCATAGCGGGTGTTCAGAGTTTTACAGCTTCTGAAATGGACCTACTTAGAGTCGCTGTGTGTTTAAAACCAAAGGTCACAGGCCTTGGTCTGAAAATGAGACAGAGTAGCTTAACTCTGATCATTCCAGAATACTGAGGGTGGTTGTAGACAATCATGGCACCTTTGCTGTTTCAGCTGTGTGGTTTGGGCAGGGGCTGTGTGCTGTTATTTGACAGATGCTAGAATGGCGTCAAGGGGAAGTAATTTGTTCTTCCACTAGTAAGGTTGCTTCAAACTGGGTAAAGTAGAACAGCCGGGGAGCGTCAAGAACCTGCAGTTTAAAGGATGTGCAGTTAATTTTTAGGACTCCACAGAAATGTGAATGAACATGATCCTTATTAAGGCGAGCAAAGGTATACCATTTATTCATGTCACTGTCAAAACCCTGTGATGTAATGTTGGTGCATTGGGTTGAGGGTCCTTTTAGTAACTCAACAGAAATAAGAATGACCAAATTACAGGCAACTCAACAAAAATACAAATAGATTTGACCTTTTAAAATAGGAAAATCTTAGATAAGACTTCAAGTTGGAAGGAATTTTAAAATGTTAAGACTTTAGACAGCCCTAAGATTTCGTATATGCTTTGCAGGGGTGTGACCTCAGTGAGTAGAGATCCTGAGCAACAGATGGTTTCTAATGTTTTCATCTTGTTTTTTACGTCTTCAGACCCAATAGGGCATATTAGGCTGAACAAAAAATAGTTGTTTATCCTTGTCAAAAAAAATCCAAAATACAGAAGAAAACCCTATTCAGGCCTGGCCTGGTGCCAGGGACCATGTGGTGCTCAGGGTCTCAGGCTCGGCCGGGCTCCCCCTCCTGGGACAGTGACTTCCACTCAGGAGGGAGAGAGGAGCTCGGCTAAGCTCCCTGGTTTGTCCTCCCTTTTTATTTCTGGACTCCCACCTTTGGTTTTAGTCTTGTGATTGCTGACTGTCTTGGGAAGGGTTCCACCCCAAATTAAAATTCACATGCTAGCTAGGTTGAGGACAAAGAAACTGAACGGAAAGGAGCCTCAGCAGCTTGTAGACCCAGCCAACCCAGAAGGAGTCTGCCTAGGACCTTGCTCATCCTCCTCACCCCAGGCCACAAAGGCTCCCCGCCACATCTGGAGTTACACGTATACATTGCTTTTTGAACTCTGTTGGAGGGTGGGGAGGATCACCGAATAATTAATCGTAGGAAATCTAGACAGTCAAATGTGGACAGGAGACAGGGAACAGCCTGGTTTAAAGGAGAACTGCTCCAGCACTGATGTCCTTTGGTGGCAGTGTCGGGCTGGCCACATCGGGGTGGAAGGCAGCAGGGAACTTGATAAGCTTTGGTGAGCACCGCAGAGACCCCAGAAAGGATCCTCCACGTATCTGAGAGGTGGGCTCGGTGGGGCAGAGGGGCCTGGCCCTGCCTCTGAGGCTAGACGTCCACAGCAGAAGGCACAGTCACAGGTGCTGCTGTCAGGGCCAGCCCCAGATCTCCCAGCTCCTCTTCCAGGGTTTTCTCTCATACATCATTCTGCTTTCCTCTTAAAATTTAAATTCACCTTCTCTGCTTAAAACCTTTCAGGTGCTCCCAGTGGGGAATCTAGAATAAAATTTGAATTTTCTGTCATGGCCTACAGAGCCCAGCATGATCTAGTCGATTCTACCCCTCCAGCCTCATCTGTGTACTATTTACCAGGGTGTCTCAGTCCCTCAACATGTCCAGGGTGCCTTTATCTTCTTGGGTGTTCTTCAAGTGGCCCTCTCTGCCAGCCTTCCCTTCTGCTGTCGGTTTTTCCCCCTTATGCCCTATCATGGCACCTTGTTTCTTTCCCTTTGTAGCACTCACCCTGGTTAATAATTGTAGTTTTTCATCTGTTATTAGTGCATTTTCCTGACTCGTTTCCCTCATGAAGCTGTTAGAGCCTTGAGGGCTAGGGCCACATCTGGCTTGGTTTTTCCACTGGCTTCGGCCCTGCTCCTGGTAAGGGGTCTCTGCTGCCCCCTGGGAGACTTGCTACACAGTCAAAATTGTGAGCTCCACATTTCAGAGGATGGACATCCCTTGTCATTTCACCGTGAAAGAGGTTCCCAACTTTTCCTGGACATTACACTACATTCAGTGCATTCCTTGTCATCACTGTTAAGTGGCTCTTTGAAGATCTGTTTCACATTGATAATAAATGTTCACCATTAAAGATTGAAAGAAGAGTCACATATCTATTTCTTTCCATCAGTGAAATAATGTAAATGTTCTAGGTTTCTTTGCATCAGTTTTTACATAGATCAGGTCTGTTTTACTTTTGCTGTAAGTTTCAGGACTTTTCATCCTTCGTCATTAAGATCAGCCTTTTGCTGTGTCCCGTTTCATAGACTGTCCCTTCAGGTGTATCAGAGTATAATGTTCACTTTCCTCTCGTCCACTCCCCAGAACGGGGAAGCCTCTTTGTGGTCACTCATCTTTACTGTTGTTGTTTGGTTGTGGTTGCAAACTCCTATCAGGTGACTTGCATGAGTATCCCTAGAGCAGGATCTGCCTTTATGGCTTACCTGATAGAGTTCTTCTGGAAATAGGAGGCATGGTAATTAATATTCAATTTAAAATAGCACAGAATGGGCTAATTTTCTAAAAAAAAAGTCAGATGTCCTGATCTTTCAGATCATTGCTATCTTCCAAATGCCTAATTCATTTTTTTTTAACCTTTCTTCCCAGATTATCCCGGGAAATACTCTGAGGAGGAGAGCAAGAGCTCAACTTCGGGCATCGCAGGAGACTTTGGGGATGACCTCCAGGAGGTGCGGGCTCCCACCATTGCTCAGCTGCTCCAGGAGAAAACCCTCTATTCCTTCTCTGAGTGGCCAAAGGTACCTGCCAGAGCTTGCATTCCCCATCCAAAGAAGCCTCCTCAGCTTTGAATTCTTTACTTTAAACCTTTTAGAATACTTCTGAGTAACAGACTCAGAGAAATGTTTAGTATCTTTAAAAGGTATTAGTTACATAACATGAAAGATTATATGCACCTAATTAGACCATAAGACAAAAGTGTCAGCTTATCTTCACATCTGCAGTGCTGTGGGCTTTAATCTTCCTTGCCCAGACGATAACATGTATTTGAAGACTTGTAAAGTGAGTACATTTGTATGTGCCCTTTTCTAATCAGCTCTTTCTGGTTAGCAACTTGATTTTAAAGGACTTGGTGAATTTGTGTAACTTGGTACCTGTTCCGCAGGATCGTGTGATAATCAGCCGCCTAGATAACATCTGCCACGTGGTGCTGAAGGGGAAGTGGCCCTCCAGCCAGCAGTACGAGCCCGTAGGCACGCTGCACACCCCCCTGTTGACCCGCAGCGCTGGGTCTCGGAGCAGCCTCTCGGAGCCAGAGGCATCAGAACACACCTTCAGCAATGGCGCGGCATTGGTGGCCCAGATGCAGAAGGTGAGGCCGTGAGAATGCTATTGACCTTGCAACAAAGGAGAGGGACAGTTTGCACTCCTTTAGTCATTCATTCAGCAAATACTTACTGAAAGGATCAGATTTGGGAGTAGGGGAAGCCATTGGGGTTAATTGAGGAATTTGGATTTTGTCCTGTAGGAGTGGGGAAGCATGTGATGAAAGCACGGTTTTACAGCTCAGTTGGAGTGGTATGCAGGTTCGTGGGAGATGAGGGTCAGGACGGGGTCGTGCCTCGGGGGGCTGGAAAGCAGGTGGGCATCTGAGGAAGAGAGAAAGTTCTAGACCAGCTTAGTGGCAGAGTAGATAGAAAGACAGGGGAGCTTCAGTGATTTGGTAAGCGTGGCATGATGACTGATGTGTGTATAAGGAAAGGGAGGCATGAATGGACCAGGATGTTCAGCACTTGGAGGGCCGAGAATGATGGCAGCTGATAGAAATTAGGGAAATCAAAGCAGGGCTGAGTTTTATAAACTCAAACTAAAACTCAAGTTTGAGGTCTGTGGTTAGCACACTAGCTCTCACTCTCAACTGCACGTGAGACTCTGCTGGGGACCTTGAAAAGCTGTAGATTCTGATTTAATTAGGGTGGACACTCAGTATTGGCTTTTTTTTTTAATTCCAAATTGATTCTGTTGTACAGCTGAGGCTGAGATTCCCTAAATTATAATCATGCAATTCCAAGTATGGATCATGGGCTAGCAGCTTTGGCAGTGGCTGGGAAGCGCAGAATCTCAGGCCCACTGAAGTAGCATCTACATTTTAACAAGTGATCCAGGTGATTTAGCACTAAAGTTTGAGAAGGCTTGAGTTAGAAGAACTTCTAAGAAAACGATTACTTGGCCCAAGGAAATCGGGCCTGAGAAAGAGCTGGCATTCAGCCGCAGAGGTGTTCAGACGTTCTCTTACCACGTGTGTGTGTGTGTTCACAGGAGAGCTTCTTGGCTCCAGTATTCACAAAGGATGAACAGAAGCACAGGCGTCCTTACGAGTTCGAGGTGGAGAGAGATGTGAAGACTCGGAGCCTGGAGCAGTTCTCTGCCACCCATGGGCACCCCCCCATCGTCCTCAATGGCTGGCATGGAGAGTCAGCAATTGACCTCTCCTGCACGGTGGAGGGGTCCCCAGGAGCCACATCCCCTTTCCCAGTGAGCGCCAGCACCCCTAAGATGGGGGCTATCGGTTCACTTCAAGGAGCCCTTGGCATGGACTTGTCTGGGATTTTGCAAGCTGGCCTGATCCATCCAGTGACCGGACAGATCGTCAACGGAAGCCTCAGGAGAGATGACGCTGCCACGAGGAGGCGGAGAGGGAGACGGAAACATGTTGACGGAGGGGTGGACCTCATCTTTCTGAAGGAACAGACCCTTCAGGCAGGAATCTTGGTGGGTATCTGAGGCCAGTAAGTACAAACATTGACCTCTGTACACTGAGCAACAAACCCTTCTTCCTCAAAATGCACGTTTGATTTATGGATCTTTTATCCCTATTTCAGTTGTCCTACTTACTTTCTCTTGTCAGTTGCTCTCAATCTTTTCTAGAAATAGATAGTGATTAGTCCCTTAACCTGCATGCAGCCTGGAGACATGAGCCAGGAGGTCTCGCCATTTCAGACAGAACAGCCCCGCCTCCAGTGTCTCAGAAGAGCCACTGATGATGGAACAGGTAAAGTAGACAGCAGGGCTGAGTGTGCAGCAGCGTTGCTCCAGGTCAGCGGGGGCCTAAGAGTATTTTTTAAAATGTACTATGCAAACATTTATATAGCGCTGACATTGAACTTTGTCAGTATGCCGGATATAGGAACTGGGGACACAGATAAGTGAGCCAGGCATCCACAGTATAGAGAGAGATGGGGAAGTAAACTACAGTGCGGCGTTTTCTGCTGTGTGAAAACCTGTGCAGAGTGCTGTGGGGAGCAGGAGTGGGGTGGCCAGTGTTTCCAGGACTGTGATGGCGACATGGGCAGTAATGCAGAACCTGAGCAGACAGGGTGAAAGTCTGCCATGTAGACAGGAAGGGGAGAGGCACAGACAGGTGGAGGGAACATCCCACATGTGCAGGAGCCGATGTGTGTGCCAGTGGTGTGCGTGGACTCCTATTCAAGCACTGAGTAATATTCAGGTGGAAATTCAGAGCAACATTCAGGTGGAAAGAGTTAAAGAGCACCGTACATGTTTCCTTTGGGAAACTAGTTTTCATTCTGTCGTGATGAATTGCACATACTTATTTTCCCTTCATCCAGGAGGTCCACGAAGACCCAGGGCAGACCCCCCTGAGCACCTCACACCCTCCTGAAGGGCCAGTGCCTGCCACGTCGACCCCGGAGCCATCCCCCACGGCCAGCAGCCAGGCCGAGAAAGCCCTTCCCAGCAAGAGCCTGCTGGACTGGCTGAGGCAGCAAGCTGACTACTCCCTCGAAGCTCCTGGCTTTGGCACAGTAAGTGTGTGTCCGCTGCTGCCTGGGACTGCCATTTACTTCCTGCCGGTTGGTGCCGTCTCTGATGCGGAGCATTCTGAGGGAGACCAGGAAGACCAGAAAGTCTGAGAACACCCCTTTAAAGGGGAAAAACAAGTTTAAATTCTGGTTATGTTTTCCAGTAACAGGAACTCCAGCCCATGTCAGAACACTGGGCCAGATAGTAGACGTGTGACATCTTACCAGGACAGAGCTTGCCTAAACTCAGCCCTCCCTTCCCCCCAAAAGCACCACATTCATAAGCTCACAGAGAATTCTTTAGGTTGCATAAATGCTGCCACTTCATGAAAATGTTCCTGTGTATTCTTTTCAAGTCACTGCATCACCTCTTTGAGGTGATGTATTAGTTTTAGGTACTCTTTCGGACTTCTCCTCGAGTCCTCTTACTGCTATGGCCCTAAATTCTTCAGATTAGGAATCTATGGGGGAGGCTCCTGAGCACTGAAATCTTCTCTTGGGTTTTCTTTTCTTATTTGCTCCTCAGCCCTACCACCATCTCTGTCCTGGGTACCTCTCATTAGCAAGATATGGAGGAAAGGAGGAGAATGCATTCTCAGATGTGTACCCTCCAAAGACAGACGAAGCCTGCCCAGTAGGCAGCAGTGAAGAGAGAATCTGAGAAAATGAGCAAGGGAAAGGGTGAGGGACGAAGCGGTGCCCTGAGAAACGGGAGTCAGCCAGGCATTACAGTCTGGAGGCCAGGAGGCCCACACAGCCTGTTTGCAGCTTGCTGTGGGAATGCTGTAGCTTCAAGGAGAAAGCTCAGGTGAGGGCCAGGTGGCTGTTTCCTTCAGCCTAACCGGCCTGGTCCTGTGCAGAGAGCCACGAGTGAGAAAACACCAACACCACCCTCATCGGAAGAGTCAGAGGCAGAATGTTCTGTAATACTGGTTTCCATTTACCTCCTAGAATTTTTCAGACAAACCAAAGCAGAGGCGGCCACGCTGTAAGGAACCTGGAAAATTAGACGTCAACTCCCTGAGTGGGGAAGAGAGGGTTCCTGCTGTCCCCAAGGAGCCAGGACTGAGGGTAAGGAGCAGGGACATGCTGGTGGAGCCCAGCCGTGCATACTCGGAGAGAAGGATCCAGCTGGGAAGAGGGTAGCTGGGTGGCCTTACTGCGAGGACAGGGCGGCATGGAAGTCGCTAAGGAGCGATAAGTGGTGTTGGGGTGTCTGACCGGCAGTGTGACCTCTGTGGTCATTTGTTTTCAGCCTTTACTTCCAAAACTTATGGTTTAAGTTTGTGCTTAAACCATTCCCAAAGCTTGATTTTCAGGGGGAAAAAACAAAACCATTTTAGAGAGTTCAGGGAAAATACCTTAACTCTTATCAGGAGTCTGTTTCCAGTGTTTAACAAACATCACTATTGGAAATTTTCATTTTCTAATCTAAGTTTTTCTGGCTACCATTTAAGACATTTCCTCCTAGTCTGTCCTCCTTGGCAATGAAAAACAGCTGACTCCAAGCACTTCCCTTTTCCTATTATAGAATCATGAGCCTGGAAGAGACTTCAAAGACATCTGCAGATACTTGTAGTAGAACGAATCTGAGTTAATTATAGTTTACAGATGAGTACAAATTTGGAGTAGAAAACTCGTAACCTCTAGGGGGCGGTAGTAACATTTCAACCCAAGAAACGTGTTGAGCTTGAGCAAATGATACACAAATATGCTTTTAACCTCCTCCAAGTGTGGGTTCTGCCCAAATAGGGCGCTTCTGAAGATCCTCATGGGGAATCTGCTCTTCCTGGGTTGTCCTCTAAACTCACAGGCTCTCCTGAATGCCTTCCTTCCGTGCTCTGCCAGCAACTGGCTTTCCTGGGTATGAACTCCCTTCTTAGCGGGATTTCCTGGATGCGATTTCTTTTTTTAGCTCCAAGAGACCACCCACCCTGGTCATTTCCTCCTGGTGCAGAAAGAAGTTGTTACTTAATGTTGTCAAGGAGCTTGTTACTGATGTGGTCGCCTGGAAGATGACTCCTCCAGCAGCCCCACAGACGCGACTGCCCTCGCCCACCTCCATGCCACTCCGGAGGGAGGCCTAGGGCAGCCTTGTGGGCTGGGCTGCTTTATGGAAAATTTGTCACACTGCCCTTCCCCCCCTTCTTGCTTTATTCTCAGAAAGCTCCCCACCCCCACCTCCATTTCTTGGACCTGTTTGTACTGTCCAGGCTGATTTCCACAGCGGTTCTCACCCTTTGTCTTTCTCGGCCCCACACGTGGCCTCCCCGCGCTCTCCTTTCGTCGCGCGCAGTGGCTCTCTGATTGTCCAGGAGAGACCTCCGGTTCTTACTTGGGTGAGTCTCTGAGCTCTTGGTTTAGGAACTTGTCAGGAAAACCACGTGGTTTCCCCCTTGACTTTCTCACTTTGTACACGCCTAACATTTCCCTCATGTTCTCTGGATATTAACATTCATCACTCCCCTGCAGACGCTGACCCTTTGCCAGAAAGCTCATTTCTGAGCTGTTCTTGCAAGCCAGCCTCTCAGAGAGATGCGCTTTCCCTCCTTTGTTAAATAAACACAGGCCCTGCCTCAGGAGTCTGGTCCTTGGGCCTCATCGGCCCTCCACTGTCCCCTCAGCCGTGTCTCCCAGGGCCCCTCCTGGGGCTGGACCCTTTGGGGTGTGCTGCACTCTTTGTCCATCCCTTAGAGACCCTACCATTTCTTCTAGAAGCAATTCATATCCCACAGGGGACTTCCTCCTGCCTTTAGCCCCTCGTGCTGTGTGTGCTGGGGCTCCGCTGGTGAGCGTCACAGACTTAGCATCACGCAGGCTGCAGTCAGGCCACGGGGGATTCGGCTTGGAGAATGCCCGGTATGTCACAATCACTCATTGTTAAACGTGTATGCACACGCACATGCCTCATATATTTTATATGTGAAACTGTATTTGTTTTACACATGTTTGTAGTTTTTATTTTTGCTTGTTTCTTTCTGAGCCATCTGACAGTAAGTTGCAGAGATGACCTATACAAGTAAATACTTAAATAAATACTTCAGCAGGTGTCTCCTGAGAGTGCTTTTCCGCATAACTACTACCATCGTCACATGTCAATATTAATAACATCTCATAACTAGCCCATACTCAGACTTCCCTGATTGTCCCAAAAATGTCTTTCAGAGCGAGTTTTTGTTTTGTTTTGCTGTTAGGATTTTTAAATTAGGATCCATACACTGCATTTGGCCGTTAGGTCTCTGTCCACTCAGGAAATGTTTGTGGGCTGAACCTACTCACCTTCCTGGGAGGAGGAAGGAGGTTTTGTCACCTCCCCCTCCTCCGCCTCCACACAGGAGTTAAGTTTTAGAGCTGAAGTACTCAGGCTTTGGAGTAAGTGCTCCCTTGTGTTGGTGAAGAAAGGTGTTCTCGGGTTGAGTGCCCGTGCAGTCATCTGGAGGAGCAGACGTGCCTCCAGTGTTGCTTAGCGTCTGCCTCTCCCTGGCCTCCATCTCCTTGCCCTCCCCCCAGCCTCCCCTGGAAGAGGAAGCAGGTTTGTTCCCAGGGTGTAATTACCAGGAGGGAGAGCTGCCAACGCCCGACTTGGCCGCCGTGTGTGGTCGCCGCGTTGCTGTGGGGGGCACCTGCCTGGGGTGGGCAGCAGCGGCCTGACTAGAGTGCCTCTCCCTCCCACGGGAGGCGGTGGAGCGGACTTCCTCTCCCCTTGCTCTGCTGTTCTCTTCCCCCGGGGCCTTTCTGCTGCTGCTCTCCCACTCTGAAGCGGGGAAAGCAGACAGCCTAGGCCTTCTGGGCAAGCTCCCAGTCCTGAAAGGGCCCAGCGTTGTCTACATCAGTGGTTCCTGACAAGGGTGGGGACATCCTAATGCCTGAGGAGTATGACTTGAACTTGGTGAGCAGAACCACAGGGACCAAAGGTCCTGCAGGATGCAGGCTGCCTTGAGTGAGCTCTCCAGCTCCAGGTGCCCTGACGAGCTCAAAATATAAGTGTGTTAAAGAATGTCTGCTTTATACCAGATTGTGTGACAAGAAGATGGAGGCATTCTTCATCAAGCTCTGGGTTTCTTTTCTGCCCAACGGAAAGACTTCTAAGATTGAACATGCCCTCCCACCGTAATAGGGAGAGCTAGGACACAACATTTGAGGATGTAAAGGAAAAAGACAGACCGAGGACCTTCCCCTGACTCTTGGCTGTGGCTGGGCTACAGGGAAGAGGGCTTGGAGAGCCTTGCGGTCGAGTTGTGGTTGCCCTGGGCCCTGGGCAGAGTGGTGCCCAGCAGAGGCCTGAGGCTGGGATCTCTGCAGAATGAGGCCATCTGCACTAATGGGCTCAAGATAGACTGGTGAGAAATGATGCTTTTAGCTTGGCACCAATCCATCACATCCGACTGTCTCTCTAGAAATAAGAACCAGGTGGGAATTGCTACCCCGGTGATCATCCTCAGACCAGAGCGGCGCTGCCTGGCACACTCAGGACAGAGCAGCCCAGCAGAGTGCAGGGGGCTGGTCACACGTGGGAGGAAGGCAGGTGGGCTGGGGGCCACGGGGCCTGGGCTCTCATCGCCTCTGTCCCTGACCAGCTGTGAGAAAGAAGGAGTACTGAACATGACAGTGCCAGAGGTTTCTTCTGCTTTTCTGAAACAAGGCTTTTTGCCCATGATGACCTGGTTTTTAATATTCTTTGAGAAATTGAAGGACAGGTATAGGACCTCAGAAATAGCGGTATTTCTGGGGACTTGAGAACATTCAAGTGTAAATTTTTCACATCTGTGAATCTGTGAACCCCGCACAACGGCCGTGCTGACAGTACTGACTCCGCAGGGTTGCTGTGATGACAAGTTGAGGTGATGCACATAGAACCCACTGCCCAGTGCCCGGGGCAGGGTCAGTGTTTATTTAATGGTACCGTCCACTGTCCTCAGCCCTGCTGCTCCTCTGTGATTAGCACTCTCTTTGTCAGCACCTCTGACAGCCAGGTCCCCTCGCTGCAGAGAGCCTCACTACCAGGGTGGCACTTCCTGCTGGTCCTCACTTCCGAGCCCAGTGTATATGTGTGTACTTGGCTCTCGGAGAGCTCGAGCCGGCATCTCCCAGGCTCTGTGACTGCCCCTAAAGCAGAGACCTGGGGGATCCTCTCAGGATTTGACGGAGGTATCATTGTTCCTTCTCACCAGAACTTCAAGAGGTGAACTGAGTTGTCCCGAGTCCCGCAGCTGGGGGCTCCAGAGTCAGGACTGAGATTCCGGCCTTCCTGCTCTGCTTGTGGCTTCTGTTAAAAACTGTCCTGTGTCAGGGAGGGGGCAAATGTGGGGATCTGGCTGAGGGGTCCCCACCATGAGTCTTGACCCCTGGCTATGGCAGCACATGCGCTAAAATTGAAATGAAGCAGAGATGAGCACAGCCTGTGTGAGGGTGAGAGGCCATCTCTGGTGCGTCTGTGAAGCGGTCCTTTTGGGGTTGGTTGGTGTGTTTTTAGTTTTATATGTGACAGCAGTAATCCC